AAGAGACGAGTGGTGAATGAGTAATTATATGAAAAGATGAGTCAGCATTCAGTAACCTGTGAAAAATGAGTGAGCACGTAGTAACCAAGTATAAAGTTCAGTGATTATTGGTTAAATTTACTCCAATACGCTCTGTCCTTTGTTCTTTCCAAACCACAGACAAGTTCATTAATCATCTAGGCACATATATAGTCATTTTTTTTTATCCAAACCACAACTTACAAGTGTATAATAAGTTCAAAAACAATAAATAAAGAATGAACATGGAAAAATGGATTGAATGAAAATCTGAGACTTACTGAGATAGAAGAGAGAAAGAGGCAATTCAAATAGAAATTAGCAGACTAACAGGCAAAAGACGACCAATTTATGTTTGGGAAATAAGAGTTCATGCTAGAGCATTTGAAGCTTTGAACGTGATTTGTTGCCGTAGTTTTGTTGAATTATGATCTAGATTGTCGGAAATATGTCTTTTTTCATTTCATATGATTTGGGAATAATTTTAGTTTAGTTTAGATATTGGATGATGACATGTATTGTGAACTTGTTAAATCATGGGCCAATAATGATGAACCTAATTTACTTCATATGATTATTTCAATTGACTAGTTGTAATTTGTATTGCTAAATTGATTTTTTTTTTGAAAAGTGAAAACTATAAAATTTTGTAAGTTAATAAAATTATTGTTTTAATTAAAAATTATAAACACAGTTCGGTTTGGTTTTGTGCGATTTTTGAAAATTAAAATCTAAACCAAACCATTTTGAAACGGTTTAGTTCGATTTGTGAGAAAAAACTATGGGTCTAGTTGGGCCTGAACCAACGGTTTTGATTTGATTTGCAGTTTTACTATTTTTCGTGCAGCCCTATTAAGAAAATACGTGAATTAAAAGTAATTTCACTTTTGATAAGTATTTATAAAGATGCCAAACATACGCTAATAATAACCAAGATGCAAGGCACGGATGTGGAATTGGGTCGCCTTGCACTGTGCTGAGCCAAATATACCTACAATGGACACATTATGTGTAGCATAGAACCAGTTGATAATTGTGATGAGTGCTCCATACTCATTATATTTATACCACTTAATTCATTATTTTGCTACAATTAAGAGTGTTTTAGAACCTTTTAATGTGTGTTTTGATGTTGTGATATAAGTTAATGAAATTGAATGAAATAAACAAAAGTTAGCGAAATTGGAGAAAATGTCAAATTGTAAGAGATCCAAAGTTCGAGGACTAAAGCGCAAATATTTAAAAGTTGTGTCGAACCTCTCGATGAAGATCCAAGAGTGTTAAGAGTCAATTGAATGAAGAAAAATGTCCAATGGATCAATTTTAGGCAAAATATGATCACAAATCAATTTGAGACCCATTTTTGACATAGCAAACGATCTAATTGGAGAATGATGTCTGAATAAAAATTGTAGCTCTTTGAGTTAACTTTTCAACGCATCTTGAATCACCTCAATTGGACAATTAACAAGAAAATTATACTAAAAATATTAAAAAATGTGCAATTTGTCGTTTTCGACCGAACCAGGCACCAAATTGGGCGCTCTCACTGAAAATAATAGCAAGCCCTACGCCACAGCACCCAACTTATTGTCAATAATAGCAACCCCTGCGTCGCAATGCCCATCTTGGGCGCCGAGGCACTGGATATGCGAGAAAATGTGTTTTTATGATTTTGAACTCTTTTCTTGGCTTAATTCAACCCTAACTCGTTCAAGACACCAACATACTCGTTCAAGCCCTACGCCACAGCGCCGAGGCAAGAATAACATCAAGAGAAGAAATTGAATATCTACATCCTAGTTTTTTCTACTCTCTTCTTTATGTTTTCTTATATAAATTTTTGTGTTTCCATATAATATATCATGAATTAAAATCATATTCTAGGGTTTGATGTAACCAAATTTGATATTATGATTTGATTTTATCATAGCTATTTTTATTTTATTTTCCACATATGTTTAATTGAATCATGATTTTAATGCTTTCGATTGCCTGATCAACAATTGAATGATTTGATGATGCTAATCAATTCTGACGCTCGAGAAGGCGAAATTTATGCATGATCATAAGATTGACACAACATAAGTTTTATAAGTTTCGAGAGAAAGTATAAAATTTGTGAAGCTTACTCCACAAAAGAATCAAATCTTTATTAAATTCTTGATTTTCAATTCGGAACAGAGATGTTGGAATTGAAATCTAGGATTAATTTCTAATCGGTACTCGAAAGAGGGGGTGAGAAATACATTAGGATTTTTGCTTTTAAATATGAAAAATTTGATTTGCATGACTGAACATAATTGAATTATAATTGATAGTGAGGTGAAATTATTCCCTAAACTTTTCCATTTTGATTTAGTTGTATAATTTGCATCCCTTGAATTCGTCACCACACTCATCGTGTTAATTTAGTTTAAAAACATTGATTCTAAAATTTCATTTTTCTAGATAAAATAAAAACTACTCAATTATAGTACTTTGTAGAAATTAAATTACAATCCCCATGGGTTCGACATTCTAACTCCTTTATTATATTACAAAACTTAACACTGTATACTTGCGATATAAATCACGTTTTAGAAAATGCATGACAAACTCTAAGATAGAAAGTCTAATTAAAATTAAATTTAAAATTGAATTAAGCACCAATGATGTGTTATATAAATTCATTGGTGAATTTTAAACTTAATTCAAATGTTGAAATCTATCGTAAGTTCATCCACTAATTAATTTATATGACATGTCATCGGTGCTGAATAGAAATGAGCACCGATTCTAATTAGATTATTCATGTGTCTATTTAAAAGTTTAGAAGTATTACAAGTTAAACATAAATCTTTAAGGATTTTCTTTATGATTTTAAATCAAATAAAGTATGGTAAAAATGGAGTTCCAAATCATTTTATAAAGTACAAATGGGACCAAATCCTAAGCTTTCGGGAAAATGTTTGGCTAAATGAGCTTTGGACAGTAATGTCCTAAAATTCGTTAATTCAAAACTTGAATTATTAGGGTTAACATGATTTGGTTTGGTTCGGTTCGGTTCGATTTTTCTTAGAATCGAAAAGAGAACCAAACCAGATCCAAAATTTTCTAATATTGAGTAAGTGGAACTGTCGGATTCAAATTTAGTTATGGAACTGTTCAGGTTCGATTTCATTTGGCTTTCGAGTTTCGTACTATAATTAAGTTTTTTTAATATTTATAAAGTTACATTAATCAAACTAATGATATATTCAATTTTCGCTCTTACAAAATAATATAGTTCAATATTTTGTATTTTTTGCGTCTCTCTTTATTGAGTCTTTATAGGTTTGATTGTTAAAATCATAGAAAAAGAAGATAGCGAGTCACAATAATTAAGAGAGGCGTAGTCAAGTTTCAATTCGATTTATCTATAATGGTTGAAACGACACTACGGTAAAATAACGGATTTGGGTAAAGCATATGTCAATTTGATTAAATTGAATTTGTATTGGAAATTAAAAATAGGAAGATCATATTTTTGGGTTTGAGCTAAATTAATTTGTTAGGAAATTTATGTAGAAAAAACAAAATAATTTAGCTAATCTAAAATAAATAAATTTAAAAAATTAGGGAGATTCAATTCTTATTCTTTTTTCTTTTTATCTAGAATTGAGAATCGAAAATAATTGTCGGTTCTCAATTCAGATACCCATTTGGGTATTTAACTTAAGAATAACTGCCTAAATTCGGTTCAGTTCTGATTGGGTTCGGTTCGGTCCGATTCGATTCGTGAGTTTCGTCAAATCCTCTTATGAATTATAGTTGCCCACTTTTTACAATGGTAAGTTAATGAAAACATTGTGGCTGAATGTATTTACACCATAATTTTTAATAATTTGATTACATTTTAATTTTATAAAAAGTTTCATAACATTTATACACTATCACATTTAATCCTCAAACTTTCTTCCATTGCAGTTATTGTTTAGGCGACAATGGACCTTACTGAATTTGTTTAGTTCAAAGTCTTTTCTTATTATTAAATAAAATAAGTTTAGGTGACAATGATCAATGATTCCTATTAATTTATTATTCAGTAAATTCATTGGACAAGCCGACAAGGCATCAGTTGGGTCAACTATCGCCTATATTATGCTAAGCACCAATAGTGATTATCCAATGAATTAATTGAACAATAAATTAGTGGAATCCACTATCACATATAGGGTGTTTAAGTATTAAAAGATATATTCCTAAATTACTTTTTCTTTTGTCAATCTTTTAAAAGATAGTATACAAACTAATCAATTTAGTTCTTTTGTAATCTACAAAGTAAAATGTTTGGCTCTCCTTCTATTTGGTTCTTCATTTTTTATTAGTTTCAGTAACATTTATCTTCCGTTTGAGCCACATTATTATAAAAATGAGAATAAAAAATATAGAGAAAAAGTCAAATATGACGGCTGGAATAGTTAAATAACGATAAAAAAAAATCAATTTTTTGAAAGAAAAATCGCTCCCAAATAAGTCCATAATCGTTATAAGCCTCACATAAGAGATAAAAAGTCAAATATGGTGACTTGATATGATGAATAACGAATTAACGATCATAGTTTTCATTTTAATGAGAAAATAATGGAGCTCAAATATGACATTAAATTATTTTTAATTTAGAAAATGAAATTCCTCTTATCACAATACCAAAAATATTAGAGTTGGCATTGAATAAAGTTTGGAATTTTTAACTTTTACTTTTTCTCAGTCAACATTTTGGAATAATTTCTCTCTCTCTCTCTCTTTTTTCTTTTTTTCTTTATAAAATAAAAAAAGTTTAATTTTGAAATATTATCGAATTATAACAAAAAGGAAAAAAAGAAAAACAAAAAGAGTTGGGTTGGGTGACCCATTCCACCGTATTCTTGAATTTGAAAATGCGGGAGAAGAAGATCCAAAGTCTCCCAAAAGCACATATATGTACATATTATATAGGCAGCGCGTTGAAAAATAAAAAAGGAAAACATAAGTCTTCTCTTTGCCCTCTCTTTCAACTTCATTAAACCGCAAAATATTTTAAAACTCCACCTTCACTTACTCTAAAACTCCACTTCTTCCCCCACCGCCTCCCTTCCATTCCTCTGCACACAAGTTTCTCTCTGTCTCTTCGAATCGTAGCAGCAGCAGAGCTGACCCTTTTCATTCCTCTTTCGAACCCACATTCAATATTTAAGTATAATAGCTTTTTTCATTTTCGTTTTCTTGTGTTTTTGGGTGCGAAATGAACCGGCGGATGTGATGGGGGCAGGGTTTTCGCAGATTTTCCCGTGTTTCAACCCGTCGGCCGGCGGGAACAGGGGCGAAGATGTTGTCATTTTTTCAGCTACTGAACCGCTTGACGAAACCCTAGGCCATTCCTTCTGTTACGTCCGGTCCTCTGCTCGCTTTGTTTCCCCTACTCACTCTGATCGATTTGTTTCCCCCTCCCAGTCCCTGCGCTTTGACGATCCGGCTCAACCGCAAAGACCCAAACCACCCGGATTGCCAGAAACCGGTTTCCGAGCTATTTCAGGTGCCTCTGTTAGTGCAAATACTTCTACTCCCAGAACTGTCGTTGACGATATTTACGACGACGCCATCGAGATTAACCATAACAGCAACGCTCCTGGTTATTATGCTGGAACCAGGGGTAGTGTTGTGAATGGGTTTGAGAGCACGTCGTCCTTTAGCGCCTTGCCTTTGCAGCCGGTACCTCGTGACCTCAAAGGTGAGCCACCTTCTGGACCGCTGGAGCGGGCGTTCTTCATGTCAGGCCCAATCGAGCGCGGGGCCTTGTCAGGACCGCTGGATGGCGCTGGCGGAGGCATCGGACCTGACAGCAACGGGGTGCCATTTTCAGCACCGTTGGGAAATGTGTGCGTAAAAGAGCGGAAGAAGGGCATTTTTAGAATTCGCAAAGCATTTTACCGAAACTTCTCTGAGAGGAAGCGCCCTTGGGTGGTGCCAGTACGATATTTAGTTGGTGGAGGCAGAAAGGATATCCCACTATCTGGAGAGAGTGGCAGAAGGACGGAGATGGTGAATGACAGCAATGTTCATTGGGCCTTGGGTAAGGCAGGGGAGGATCGAGTACATGTTGTAGTATCAGAAGAGCATGGATGGCTTTTTGTCGGAATTTATGATGGATTTAATGGCCCTGATGCCCCCGAGTTTCTCATGAGCAATTTGTACAAAGCCTTGCACAATGAACTAGAGGGTTTGTTTTGGGACACCGAGGAAGCAGTTGTAGCTTCAGAAAATGCCGTTATTGCAGATAATTCCAACTTATCTTCACAAAACCAAGAAAATGAAGAGGCTAAAGAAGGGGAGGCTGCTGAAAATGAAACAAAATCTGTAAAAAAAGTTTCATTTCAAGAGGAACAAATTGAGGTTAGGAGGAGAAGATTATGGGAATTTTTAGAGGACGATGATCCAGAAGAGGGGCTTGATTTATCAGGTTCTGATAGATTCGCATTTTCAGTTGACGATGCTTTGAACCTTAATGTTGCAGGTTCAGCTGTGAGTAGGAGGTCTTTATTGTTATCAAAACTAAAACATGGTTTGTTGAGTAAGCACAAGGATGGTAGGAGATTTTTCCCTTGGAGATTTTGGTTTGAGGGGAAAGAGAGAGTGGTAGGTGAAATGGGGGAGAGTAATAGAGTAGTGGAGAGGGAGGGTGGGAAGAGGATTAGTAGAGATGGGAGGAAGCCGAAAGTGGGTCCTGTTAATCATGAGTTGGTTCTGAGGGCAATGTCTAGGGCACTCGAGGTTACAGAAAATGCTTATTTGGATATGACAGATAAGGTTCTCGACCAGTATCCCGAACTTGCGCTGATGGGTTCTTGCTTGTTGGTTGTGTTAATGAGGGATGAAGATGTCTATGTGATGAACGTTGGGGATAGTCGGGCTATTGTTGCACAGCACCAACTTGAAGAGGTTAGTTCTGGTGAAGAATCGAAGGTTGTCAGGGATGATGGGTTGAATGCCGAGTGTATAGTTGAAGAACTTGCTGATGTTCTTGAGAGGGAAAATAAGAAGAATGAAGATCAGGTTCACAAAGCTATGAGGTTGTCTGCATTGCAGTTGTCCACTGACCATAGCACCAGCATTGAAGAAGTATGTCATCGCAATTTCTTTCTTTTATCTGTTTTATATTTGTGTCTCTTCATTGCTGCTTCAATTAATGAATAATATGATCATCAGATGGTTAAGATGTGGTCTTCTTGAGTTCTAATAGGGGAAAAAAGGAGCTTATATTGTTTGGAAGTTTTGAATTTAACTAGTTGTTCAATGACTTCTAAAACTTGGCGACTTCCGTCATGGACTAGAATACAATATTCTGGCTACTTATGCAGACATAGATACTTGGTTCTTATGGCCATGCGTCTTAGTGCATTGGAGCTTCCAAAAAGATAAGGAATGATATATTTGATGAATCAGTTGTTTTGTATAATCCATGCTACTAACTAATATGCATTTTCTCTACACTTTTATGACTTGGGACTGGATTTAATTTAGGATTTTTGATGCTTATGTTAGTTGAGATTTGTTTTCTTTATTTATTATGACAAATATATTTAGGGAACTAAGGGCTTGGCAAGATGGTCAAATGTCTTAAAAGAGACGACTTTGTTGTTTTTAATCGAATGCTATCTCCGCACGTGGAACTAGTGCAGCATTACATTTAAATTGTAAGCTGTGTGACGAAGCTTTATGAATGTTAGAAGTTTTGAAAGTAATTAGCCTTTAAAAAGGGCAAAATCAGGTATCAAGGTGTTTTCCCATTGAGAGGCAAGGCTTAAGCCTCATGAACTAAAAAAAATAGCCAAAAATAAACAGACTAAGTTAAAGAATCAATTCAATTCTAGAGTGATGTGAGGTTGTGAGTGGATGGGGTGCAGTAATTCTAGAATCAGTGTGCCTAACATATATTTACTTGTCTTGTGGGTTGCATTTTGTCTTGTCTTGGTTTTAGACCTATAGTATATTCTGATTTATATATAATTGATAAATATTAAAGAAATTAGTTTGGATTAAATAAATAGTGGATTTTTTAAAACTGGTCAACCAATAACTTAAGTGTGTTTAAATTAATCGTGGTATGTAGTTGATTAAAGAGGAGAGTATGCCTCTCGTGGTCTGGTTGCGCATATTGAGGCATGTAAGTAGGTTTGAATAAATAGTGGGCCTTGACTAATCAAACATGCTTCTTGTGGTCCGAGCTGTGCACATTGAGGGATGTAATTAAGCCCTTGTGTAGGCTCTATTAAACCAACAATACATTTTTTCAAAACTCATTTTCAACCACACATTATTCAATAAAATATTACACTAAATCTAAAAGTTTTCCTTACTTTTTAATCACACATTGTCCAAAAAAAAAAAAAATAATAATAAATAAAAAAAATTCTATTCCAAAATACTTTTTTTCCAAAGACCTCGTTGAAATGGAGCCCAAACAAGGGTTAAGTAAGTTTGAATAAATAGTGGGCCCCTCATTAAATAGGAGAGCATACCTCATGTTTTGAGGTGTGCGCATTAAGGCATGTAATTAATTAGGTTTAAATAAATTGTGGCTCCAGTTAAATAGAGTGGAGTGCATGTCTCTCGTGGTTAGAAGTTCGTGCATTGAAGCTTATGCCTTAATCAATATATACGGAAGCTTCATTAATGTCTTTAAATGGCTGCACTCATAAGCTATTTTTTAGCGCCTCAATCAAGGATTTTTTTCCTTATTAAACCGTTGTAGACGTTGAGCAATTTGATTCAACCCTTGTTTGGTGGAGATTAAAATTAGATTTTTAGTAGACTTCGATAGAAAATTTTGAAATGTGTGGTTGAAAAGTTGTAGGGCCCATGAAATATGTGGTTAATATTGATTGTTTGACTTTTACTTAAATACTAAACAGGGGCTTAATACTGGCCAAGCCTTTTGATTGTTTAGTGCTAAACATTTGGACTTTTGGGTGCACTAAGGACAAATTTTAAGTTCATTTAGGGGTTTAAGCTTCATAGTAAACCAAAAAAATGTCAAAAAATTGTTAAAATATAAAATAAACTCATAATGCATCACATTCTTCGATATAATAATCTTAAAGTATGCAAACAAACAAAAATAAAATAGATAAAGAAACTATTATTGTAGTTGGTAGGGACAATGGACTATTCTAAAAGTGGTAAATGAATTCTAATGTTTTAGTGGGCAGTTGAATATTTTTAAAATGAGTCAATAAGAATTTTAATGTTTTGTGAGCCACAAACTTTGAGGTAGGGTTGTGAGGCGTACACCTCTTAAAATCGCCTCACAATTAGTGCACAACGGGTTTTTTTGCACGCCTTACTATGACGAAGGGTATGCTCCGATTCGGTTTTTTACACCATGAGTAGTTGCATTCTAACTTTGATTTTTTGAAAGATTGTAATATCGTTACGGCTTGGATATATGTTGGGCTAATGGGTAATGTGATATGGGCTAGTATGTGTTGGGATATATGGCTAATAAAATGGGCTAGACTCAAAGAACAACAATAATATGAAATGCAAATTTGAGTTTAGAATGAGCAGAGAAAATCTTTGAAGGCAACATACATACTCATGTGATTTTTTTTTTTTTTGGGGAATTAACAAAAGATGAAATTAATGATAAACCGGTGAACAATTTTGGTTGTTCAAACATTTATTTTTATTTTTATTATTATTATTATTATTTTTTGGGTGCTGTTCTAAGGGTTGGCGGATGTTTTTGTATATTTTGTGGTGTTTAGTTTAAGAATTTTGAAAGGTGGTTGTTTGGCCAAAGGAAGACAACTTTGATACTAAATTGATGCAAGAGCATATAAATTGATATAGAACAATAAGAAGAAAGGGGATGAAAGGGAAGAATCGAGGGCAAGAGATAGTTTTATTCATATAACTTGGGTGTGTTTGTAAACGTTGTCCTAAGTCCCTTTATATAGAGAAGGATTTTGAAATTAAGTAAATTTCCTATCTAAATAAACTTGAAATAAAAGATAACATTGTCAAAATCAAACTTATAATAGATAACTACTATAATCTAGATAAACTTGAATTCTACTAATTCTTAGTCTTCGCCTGGAATATACTTTTAGTTGTTTCCTTGTTGTATCACCCAGTATTAGAGCCCTACGTCCTTCGAATGTGTGGTTTTGCTCAATTTACTGCTCATCATAGTTTGTGGTTGGCGTCCGTGGTTTTCAGCGCCATCGATGGTTAACATCCACTGTTGATCCTCTGTTCATCCAGGTCAGAGTTGTAGAATCGTAGGTGGTTGTGTCTCCTTTTATTCTCTGGTACTATCTCATTTTGTTTGGGTGCCATCTAGTTTTTTTGTGATGTCTGAGGTTGGGGTTCGAATTTCCAGCGTATCTGAAGGCTGGGTCTTGGTCGCGGCAAGTTGTTTTTGGCACTTCCTGAGTTAGGTTTAGCGTATTAGGTTTCACATGTCGGTGTGAATGGAAGAATGGAGGAGGTAACTCCATCTTGGGTCTCATAACTTGCTTCTGTTGGGCTTTTTGTATTTTAGTTTGGGGTCAATAATATTAGTTATTGGGCTCTTTTCAGTTATTGTTTCTGTTGGGCTTTACTCGAGATTTATTTCTACTGAATTTCTTATAGTGGGCTTCATTATTTTTGTTTTCTTTTGGGCTTGAATTTACGGGTTCGATTATTTTAAGTTGAGTTATACACGATTTCATCTTGTCAATTGATAAAATTGATTTTGTCTTCATTCACTTTACTGGAAAGGATTGCTCTTCATGGGTATTTCACTTTCAGTTGTTAGTTGAGGGCAAAGGGGATATGCAAGACATATTGATGGAAATCTTCCGTCTCTTGATCAAGAGAATGACATGGAGAAGTACCTTACCTAGAAAATCAAAGATTCTCGGATTATGGCTTGTATCATTGGATTTGTTGATACTCAGATTGTCTTAATCTCAAGCCTTATAAGTATGCTCGGGCTATGTGGGAGTTCTTAAAGAAAATTTACACTTAAAGCAACAGTGCTTGGAGACATCAGTTGGAGTTTGAATCTACAAGTAGCTCATTTGAAAAAAATTATTCTAGTTTTTCTAATCTTTGGATCGAGTACTTAGACATCATCTATGCTTCGGTTTCACCTAAGACTTAGGAGGCTGTACAAGTTGTGCATGAATTCATCAAGAGGGATCAATTTCTCATGAAATTGCAACCCTAAATTTGAATCAATTCGATCTAGTTTTATGAATTGTGAACCTCTTCCAACGTTGGATGGTTGTTTGGGTGAGTCACTAATGGAGGAACGACTTATCATTCGTGTCTCTTTGGAGCAATAGCAAAATTTAGTAGCATGGTTCCTGTTGCGTATGCTGATCAAGGGAAATTCAGGGGATATGTCTAATTTGCAGTGTTATAGCTATAAGGGGTTTGGTCACTTGGCTCTACAATGTCCCAAAAAGGTATGCAATTATTGTAAGAAGATTAGAAATGTAATTAAGGAGTGTCATATTTGCCCTCCACGCAACACGGAAGCAGGTTGTGTTGCAGCTGTTACTTAAGCCTCTGGTTATGCTACGCTAGCTGCTAGTACTCAAGTTCTTGCCTCTCTTGGTCCTGTCCAAAACTCCATCACTCCTGAGATGATCCAACAAATGGTTATTTCTGCTTTGTGTGCTTTAGGTGTCTCAGATAAGCTACCAACTGCTCTTTCCCCTTGGTTATTAGACTTGTATGCTTTTAACTATATGACCATGATTTTTTGTTACTTAGTGACCTTGGACCATATGCTAGACCCCTCTATGTATATTACTGCCGATGGTAACACTATTCCTATCTTGGTCATGGGTGATATATCACCATATTTGCCTAATGTTTTAGTATCTCCTAATTTATCGACTAATCTTATATTGTTGGTCAATTTGTTAATAACAATTACATTTTGCATTTTTCTTCTTTTGGTTGTGTTGTGGAGGATTAGGTGTCGAGAGGATGCTCGTGAGACGGATAAGGGGGATGTCTATTTCCTATGTCATCGCAGTCTATTTTAGTTTTTTCTTTTGTTCGTCATTTTGCTACTTTTGACATATTTTGTTTGCATAAAAAATTGGGATATCCTAATT